CTACTACTACTACTACTACTACTACTACTACTACTACTACTACTACTCATTTTTGTGTTTTTGGCAACACGTGCGTTGTTCATCCTCAGGGTAGAGTGGACAGAGTTGGTATATCAAAGTCCCTCCACCAATCGCAAAAGAAGCTACATAGCACCTAATAATGCTCGTGCTTGTATGCAATTTGTCTAGAATCTGTTGCATCTACATGGGAGATCCTGGGAGCTATGTATGTGCAGGATTTTAACCAAGGCATCAATGGAGCAACTCATGCCACATAGTAGCAACTTTTGGCCAAGTGATCCTCAACTGAACGGAGAATCGAAGTAAATTGCATGTTTTGTGGGGAGCTCACAGCTTCTTTTTTCTGCTATCTCTCATTTGCATTGAGATCGGTCTGTCACCAAGTCGAAAGCCGACCTACGGCACTCTCGCAGGAACGCTGGGGCGAGATATGCAATTGGCAATAAGTGCAACGGCGGATCTGCACTGCCTGGCTCTCTGAACTGAAACTTTCTCAAACAGGGGGCAAACCAGAACAAGTAACATCGGCTCCTGAACCAAGTTGGGAATTGCTGCATTTGAGGACAACAAACACGAGTACTAAACACTACTGAGATCTACTAATTAAGTATATAATCCCCAAACTGAGAACAGTAACTTCCCAAATCTTGGACCTGATTCTGTTCGAAACAGGATCCACATCGAGTTTCCCCCTCGGTTTCAATTCATGCCACGTTACGAGCCTGGGCAAAAGACAGAAAGGAACTAATGCGCATTTAGTATCATTTAGGTCGTATAAGCCTTATCAGTTTGTTGTCAGAAGGCAGCAGGCAGGTCCACAATTGTGGCCGGATGCCGTGAGTATACTCACTTGCTTTCGCAAGAAGGCTCCGGACGATAGGCTCCTCACCCTTCAAACTGTGGAGGCAACCAAACAAAGGCAAAGTCAGTTCCTGACAAACCCAAGAGCGCTGGCGCGAGGAAGCTTACAGTTGTCCTATACATGCTATGGATCGTTTAATCTGCTTGAAACATAAATCAATCCTGAGAAACTGAGAGGCACTCAATTAAAAGAGTATTGAACCGTGTATTTCGGATTAGGTGATACTGTACTCAGTACTGCTCCCCACTTCCCAGGCAGACGCTCGAGGGTGTGTCATCAAAGCCCCAGGGGCGGGCTCCAAAATTCATAAGCTGAAGCGTGTCCATAAACTCCTGCGGAGTGGACTGCCCAGCGATCCTCAGGGTTTGAATCCCTCCCTGTGGATGACAATAACCATAGAGTTTCCTCCCAAAGAACCACAGTGGCTGCCCCACTGCGCGAGTTCGCTTTGAACTCTGCGAGACTAGCAAACTACCTTAATCTCTGCATCAACGGATCAATGCGTTGGCCTTTCCTAGTGATACCAGCATCATAGAACCTTCCTTGCACAGCTTTCCGCCGTAGCAGGAATGTTTTCGCCTGAGCCCGGCCGCAACATGTAAGGGAGAAAGGAACAGCAGCTTCCTTCTATCCTAACTGTCTCAACATCCACCAAAGGGACCATATCAACAGCTGAAAATACAATAAAGTATATAAGAAAAAGCCAGAAGTCAATTGCTTTTGTGCAAGAGAAAACCTGATCCAGGTCTGTGAGCCTTTGAAATCATTGAACAGTGGGTAGTGTTCCTGGCAAACACAGTGGAATGACGCTTCCGAAACTCTTGATTGAACAGCTTCGAATCTTTCTGCATATTCACGGGCCCAGCAATACGTAGTACATTTGCATTATTTGCACTGACAGATGCCTCAGCTTCAGTAGCTCCTCAGCCCACTGGACCCCCGTGATGCCCTCCCCTCACATGGTGCCACTACCGGCAGGATCCTTCTCGCCCTGCCAACTAAGGAGTCAGTCTTGTGAATGCTGGTGCCTCCCTCAAGGTACCCACCTTTCGGGTATAGCTAAGGCCGTAATGTAGGATCCTGATTGGTACAGGGGCACCCCCACCCTCAGGTAATAGGGGACCCTCTAATAAGCTACCACAAAAACAAATCAGGATTCCTCGGAGGATTCCTTTTGCAATTGATTGTAGCATTGATGTTCATTTCCTTTCATTTCATATATTGCAATTATTAATTTTCTTTTCTCAGGTGCTTTGTAGATATCATCAGCAATCCTTTTAATCTACTAAGAAGAGTACGAAGAAGGTTCTCAGGATCTCAGCAGTTTTGAAGAAGAACTGAAGCCAGCCATTGGCTTGGTAATATTAAGATCTCAGGAAAGAATCTATTTCCTGGGGAAAACTTTTCGCAGTTGAGAACCCATAAAGCAAATCTATTATTGAGGATCAGGGGCCTTCCTGGTCTACTACCTTGAAAATGTGTTTAGGAGCAATCTTCACATAAAGGCGGGTTGATTAAGGAATTGATGGCTTTGGGAAGCTGTCAGTATTGAAGAAGAACTAAAGAAACCAATAATTAGCCATAATCTCAGCAAGCCAGTCATTGGCTTTGTAGTGTTAAGATCTCAGGAAAGGATGTATTTTCTGGGGAAAACTTTTCGCAGTTGAGAACCCATAGAACCAAGCTTCTTTCCCTTCCCAAACCGGCCTACCAGCCTGCAGAAACTCATTGTGAGACATCTGCAAACCTGGTGCACGATGCCCCCGAACGATTCGATAAGTTTATGCTGAAGGCGGAAGTAGAAGCGGCGGTATAACATGGTATAGCTGTGGCACAGTCAAGCAACCGAAGCAACTGGGATGAGAACCCTTTGCATGTTTGCTTTGGGGTGCTGAGATTACAAACGAGCTGATACAAATGGACATATACTCGGCCTGCAACTAGGGCGTTGTCCAACATCCTGGCAGACTGAGGCCAATCCATTCGAGATCTCTCGTGACTGCACTGACATGGAACCATGTGATATCGAACACGCTCGAAAAAACACAATGTTCTTTCCGGAAGACGTACCAGCTGGGGATATTCTGTTGCTTGTTCCCCAAAACGCTGAGGGAGGCCCTTCCAGGAACAAGAAAAGGCTGATCGGAATGAGGAGTCCTGATGGCTTCTCTGCTAAGGCCTGTCCTGCGACGTCTAATTCCCACTTATGTGTGCTAGGGTTCATGACAAACTGAACAAAACCATCGTTTCCGGTTCCGGTGTCCCCCCAAGCACATCCAAACACTTGTTGCTGCAAATACATGATACAATATTGTGTAATATGAATTAATATGATATATAAATCCGACAATGTTTTGAGCAAACGACAGTGAAGCCTCTGGCACTCAGAAGGCTGATAGATCACTTGTCCGGATGACTGCAGGCTCCCAGGTGAACCTTGCAACGGCGACCCCCAAGCAGCTAAACTTCTTTGGCTTGTCTGTGGCTTCAGAGTCCCACAAAATTACAGAAACCCTGTTGAGCAAGATGCCATACAACATTTGGGTGGCTCAAGCCACTGAAACCCTCAATCAATGAAACTGGTCGATGTGTGCTGCGGCCAGGTCATCAGGTCATCCTCACATGTTGAGAATCAGTGCAATCCTATCCTGGATGATGATAAGACTGCAACACAATTGCATATGCAGCAGACAGGAGTTTCGTGGTTAGTGCCATGGCAACAGCAACAAGTAACAAGCCACTTTTGAAAAAGCAACACAAACGTTCAAAATTTTCGATGGCATGACGAAGAATAACGTGAGGTCCGCACTGCAGAAATCCTTGAGATGCTCCCAACTCCTCTGCAAAGGACGGTCTCTTCTTGGCCTTGGTCAAGTGCAAACTTAAATGTCTCTACCAAACTGAAGAAAAGGAGAAACAAGAAATCACTAAGAATTCCGGAGGGCAAAAAAGAACTCCGGAGTCTGATGCTCAATGAACCTGTTACAAGGACTTTCACGAATAACACTGCTATCAGACGTAGACGCATTTTGCAGCAAAAAAAGAACCTCTGATCTCTTGCGATGTCTTGCGTCTTGCGCCCACCTGCATACTGCAAACTTTAATTATGTATCTTGCCTAAGACCTTGAACACCCGCAGTAGTGTGCCACCCTGCTACACTGGCTCATTTAGGAATTTGGACATTCCTCCTCGTTGATTCAGAAATGCCAAGGAAAGGTCCAGTTTAGCAATTCCATGAAGCTTTAGGCTGCGGCTGGCAGGAACGGGTTGAGATTGTAGGCCACCAAGGGCGTGGCCACCTGGCAACCCGTGGTTGGATTTCTTTCACAGTAGTCGCAAACCAAACCTCACTACATAATAATTAAGTGACTGACCATAGTAAACCATCTCATGACTGAATTCAATCTGAGACAGAATGTATATATATATATATATACACTGTATATAGTATATTTGGCACAGGGTATCTTCGAGAACAAATCAGTATTTTGCCAGCAAACTTTGTGCTGCACTTCTTAAGAACCACCCTGCGCTCTAGCTTATGAGTGCTTGCTTTGACCGGCTGCAACAAGCTTGCAAACTGAAGGCCTTCCTCCTTCCCAAGCAAACAACAAGCCTAGGCCTACGGAAACTACGTATATAAGTTGCAGAAAGGAATTCCAGGAGGAGGGAGTGCAAAGAATAGCTTTCAACAGTGTCAGTGTATTCCTCCAGAAGGGTCAGGATGGAAGGGGAAAGCCTCCAGGAATAGTGGGCCCTAGCAGATCTATGATAATATTCTACCTGCACTTGTGACAAACGCACATGGATACAAGCAAAGGGCTTTGCGCTGTGCATACTTTGAAGATTTAACTAGTCCAGTATAGTCTAGTTGAGCGAAAGAAAATGGTCCGTGTTGTAATGTTTGTACAAAGGAAAAGGCTGCATCGTTGTACCAGTACAAAACAAACTGCACGAAACTGAGGTTCAAGAGTGTAAGGACTTCCTTAAAACCTTTTGATGACAAAACACTTTGTAAGATTTGCAAGCAAAATCACATCAGAAACTGATGTTGCGTGCAATGTAGGCACTGTAACATAACGTCGAGTCATGTTCGATTATAATCAACCGATACTGGCCTTTTCCCCCAAATTTTGGCCTTCATAGACGGCGGAAGGGATTCCTCAATGAAAAGCGGTGCAGGCTCCTCAAAGGGCTTCGGGCATGTGACTCTTGACATCTCTCAGTCTTTGCTCGGAGGAGACACCAATCACAGCATGAAACGGTAACAACTTCTTCGCCGGCGGCCATCACTACGTCACGACTTTCTCACCCTACCTTGGGTGCGCACCAGACTGTGAGGGGATTTCTTACTCTTCGCCAAACAAAAAGTAGATCCCAATGTTGCCATGCTTTTTGACAACGCTGTCTGGACTGCTTGGAGGCACGTTTGCGGCATATTCTAAGCCCGTTTGCGTGCGTTGTTCTGCTCAGGGATACCCGCTCGCACCCGCACAAAGAAAACGGCACAACAAACATTTATTTTTTTTAGCGCTTTTGCCGCGCAAAACGTAAAAAATATAAATGTCAGGTGAACATAATTTCATTCTTTTTTACCAATACTGCACAGGTGCCTCGGGGGAACCCCGTAGCCTGAGCAACACTGCTAAGCCAGCACAGGGCATATGCAATCAGATTCAATCACTCAGCTGCCTTGAAGTATGGGTGCTGCGTGTGCCGCTTCTTTACATTATCCCGGCAAGAGACGCCAGAGACGCCAAGCAGTGTGTGTGTGTCCACCCCTGGGCAAAGGGTCTTCCACCGCTACCTCTTTCACCAGTTTTCCACAAACTTTCACTCGCAGGGGCGTGTGACACTCTTCTCCTATCACACGCAACGAAGCTGTGGAGAAGAGTGGGAAGGGAAACTTGGCCAGTTTCCTGTACCTGCGACACAACCGTTGATCATGCTGTGACTCCAATTTTTCCTTGTTTGATTCCATGGTCCTTGCATGATAGACCCCTAAACCTTTTCCCACCGCAGGCTTGCAGCAGACTTGCAACATTGCAACAATACAGTTCTTGCCGACTCTTTCGCCATGCCGTTCCATCGCCATCCTTCCCATCGTGGTAATTGAGTTAACTGAATACAATTGTCAGAGTGTGTTTCGCTCAGCCGTCCCACTCGGGTGCTGAGTGTGATCCCCGTCACTGGGGCGCCGTTCTTGCATTGGAAATCACCCACCCCAACTTGCCACCTTTCACCGGATGTCCACTGGAAGTCATTGACACATCCTTTGAATCAACAGATACATTGGCCGCCGGGCCCAAACACGGCAGCTACTTGATCTTGCATGTCAGTTTCTGCAGTTTTTGCATTTTGATTTTTGCCGTGAATTTTGTCAGCAGAACTCAAGCTTGCACACTGGAGTTCTCCAATCTAATTCGCGATGCATGACCACACCTACCAACAAGAAAATACACATTTCCACCTTCCAGCGCTGATGCTGCTGCCGCTGAGCTAGTGAGGCTTTATGTCCAAAAAGGACACAACCAACAAGCCTGCCACCGTTTTTTGAAAAAGCGCCGACGCCGGCGATCTGTGTGTGTCCACCCCTGGGCAAAGGGTCTTCCACCGCTACCTCTTTCACCAGTTTTCCACAAACTTTCACTCGCAGGGGCGTGTGACACTCTTCTCCTATCACACGCAACGAAGCTGTGGAGAAGAGTGGGAAGGGAAACTTGGCCAGTTTCCTGTACCTGCGACACAACCGTTGATCATGCTGTGACTCCAATTTTTCCTTGTTTGATTCCATGGTCCTTGCATGATAGACCCCTAAACCTTTTCCCACCGCAGGCTTGCAGCAGACTTGCAACATTGTTCAACAATACAGTTCTTGCCGACTCTTTCGCCATGCCGTTCCATCGCCATCCTTCCCATCGTGGTAATTGAGTTAACTGAATACAATTGTCAGAGTGAGGTATAGGGGTGCCGCAGCAAAAAGTCGAGAGATCTAGATGCATTGGGGTCCAGAGAGGTGATGGTGGTGATGAACGTCACGAGTGAGTGAGTGAGAGTGAGAGTGTGCACAAAGTGCTGCGCCTGCCACGAACTCTGCACTTTGAGGTTCACAAAGTGCTGCGTCTGCCGCGAAATCTGCACTTAATGATTCTTCACCGCCACTGTTTATGTCTCCTGGAGTGCAGGATAAATCTAGCTCAGATTTCAACACTTGATTCAAGACTTCAGTTCAGGACGCCAACAAAAACATGTGATTTCTATCTTTCGTGATGTGCATCTCTGTTCATAATCGAATCAGTTTTGATTTCTTGAAACAAAAAAAAACTCAAGTTTTCCAAGCCACAAATTTTCAAGCTCAACTACACGGGGTCTACTTTACTCACCTATATATAAAGGGTCTACAATGACATTGGACCCATTCTAGACCCTCCTGTCTCAGACCCTCCAGGTCACCCATTCTAGACCCCAGTAGTTGGGGGCATGGTTAGACACTGGCCCTTAACTATTACGGAAAGAACCCCTAGTGTGACGACACTGTTTGGAGAAAAAAAGACTAGACAAGTGCTTTGCAATCACACTCCCTTTTTGGTCGCTACTTTGTTCTTTGGAGAGGCCAGTCGGTTGAACTACTTGGCCGTAGTACCAGGTGTGTCCGATCTTTCAATCATCTTCAATCCTGGGAGTGTCTTACTTTCTGGTTGAGTCCATGGTGGAGATTGTAGTTGCGAAACATCCCGAGCTTGCTCGATTGTGGACATGGTGAGATTCAAGTATGCTATCCAAAAACACACCGTGCAAGCTCCGCAAACCGTGGAAGCGCCACAAACCTGATCAGCCCTCCTTGGGTGGTGGAGCAATCATCTTGCCAGCTGGATGCCTCAATCTCCTGCGGGTGCAAAGAGCCACACCAATCATCCCGGTAAACATTCGCGGTGATTGTTGAGGGAGGCCTTTACAATGCCTGATGGAATCCCACAGCGATGCTGCCTGGTTCTGGCAAATTGTCGAACATTGTAATATATATGGTTTTGATGATTGCTTAGACTGGTGAATGGTTGCAAAAAACGTGCTAATAGGCTGATTGCCTGTTCGATTCAAAAAGCGGGTGAAGCCAGTGAAGGGCCGTGGAGAAAAACGTCCTACGGAACTAGCTAATAGCAAGAAGCTACTAGTAACAAGGGCATCGCTACTAGCAACAAGGGCACTAGTAGCGATGCACTTGTTCCTAGTAGCGATTCGTTCCTTGCTTCGCTCCCAAAACTGGTCATGGCCATTCGTGGCCCACAGCCGTTCGGGGGCATCACTGCATCACGTTTCAGTGCTGCGGTGTCAAGGCCCATCAACATCCCGAACGCGCTGTGGCATATATGCATGGTTGTCAAGAAGAAACACAAACGGCCAATGAGCATCTTTTTTGGGCCTGCCAAACGATTCTGCGAGCCAAACTGCCAGCTTTCTTCACTTGACCCGCAGTTCTTCTGGAGTTGTGTAACCAAATCTGCGCCTCCAAATACATGCGATAAACACAAACAAGGATCACAAGGTGCCTCTGCAGCTGCTGTGCAAAGTCTTCCTGACGCTTGCAATGCGCTTCCTTCGGGGTCCATAGTTCAAGCCTTCTTCCACAAATTCTATCAGTGTTATTGCGGATGCCCTGACTGTTTTATGGTATACTGTATTCACATCAAATGCTTGAACACTAAGCATCTGAAACACACATCGTGAACACGCATCGTGCATCACTGGGCAGGGTGCCGGTGCAAAGTTGTTGAGGTCAAAGCTCACCTGGTGAAAAAAACACAACATGCAAGTCTCATATACTACATTATACTACCACATAGCGAAAATATCATATGAAGGTCAGCTGAATTACACCACAGCTGATGGGTTGTAGGTGGTTCCAGCTTGACATCCACATTTAGACCCACGACCTTCCGCCTGAGGGCAAACGGATGTGTCTCCAAAGGAACCTTTTTGAATGTCGTGAGCAAGCATGCGATTCACAAGCTTTCTATTGCATTCTGCTCAAGTCTGGGTTAAGCTTCTTTCGCTGAGAAGAGTTGGAAGAAAATCAGCTGGCTAAACCACCAGTTCTTCACGCTGTAGAAATCAATGAGCCTCTGCTACATCAGAAGAGGATGTAGTGGTAGCATCCTGGGAAACAGCGGATGATGGCTTTGAATGTCCGCCCAATGATCCCAAGTCTCTGCCTACTTTCTAGTGATCTTATTTTACTATACTGTATATACTGTATACTATATGTATATAGCTAGGCTATATACATTGACATATATATAGATAATGGGTTTGATCATTCACGGTGTGGGCTGATCAGTCAGCTGACAGCGGCTGACTGTCACCCACTGTGCCAGAGTAGAGATTCAGGGAGGACAGCAAAATGGGTCATCATATAAGGGTTCTTTGATGTTTTAGTGTCTCTATGGTGCACCAACCAGTGCCCGAAGCATCCGCAGGATATTGTTTTGCTACGTGGGACTCTAGGATGTTGTTTTGCAATGTTTTCACAGCCTGTCTTGCGTTGGCTCTGTTTGCTGGACACGTTCACACCCAGAATTGGTGAACTTCGTCTTCATGACCCTGCTGGCGACCGCCCTCCGCACCGAGTCAGCATCGTAGAAGCGGCCAAAGTCCTTGTAGTCCTTGGGATGCAGCATGTTGTCTGAGCAGGATCTTCCATGTTTGCCTTAAACTACATTCAAAGATAAATGATGGACCTCAGTTGGCCTTCGTGGGCACAAATCAGGACCACTGTGGACCGTTCCAATCCAGCATGGTAGCCAAGAGTCTGCAGTCATCAAGCTCAAAGCGGAAGCAGCCATGACGACCTGGAGAAGGGTATATACACTAATTTTGATGGATGCTGAATTTCTTCCTTCAGAAGGGAGTGTTATTGAAGCGCATCTCAAAAAATGCCAAAAGTACAAGTCGTGCAGTGCATTCAAGTATTGAGGAGCTGCAGGAACCAACGGATGGCAAGGCATGGATGGCAGTTCACAAGTTACAAAGAGTCCAGCATCCACAAGTTCCTTTAACGACTAGGCCCCAGGCCCTTTGCCTGTCTGCGATGGGTGCAACTGCTTGAGCCAAAAACTATTGCACAATTTGAGCTCAAACTGCATCCGCAACCAAATTAGTATGATTGTGTAGTTGTTGGCAGGAGCAAGGACCGACATCATCGGAGCAGATCGGACCGGCGCACCTTGGCAGGACCTCCGAAAGCCAGCCATGGCAAGGCCTGGAATTTTTGTGCCGGAGCACTTTGCCTGTGCCCAGTACACCTCTCAGTGATACTTCTGGCCTCCCTAGGATTGCGATGTCCCGTGTCTAGACAACCCCTGAAAATCATGAAATTTGTTCATTAGAAAATCACATATTGAATTCCTTGGATGCAGTGGTCATTGATTGCGGTTTCTTTGTGAACCTTTGAACCTTCCGACCAAGCCGACCCGGATCTTCTCGTGGACTGTCACAGCCGCTGCCCCAGAGTCTTTCCAAATGTCGGGCCCTCAGAGCGGACGCGGCACTGCCATGCATGGTGCGAAACGGATGTTTTCGAACTCTCGTTCAGAAGGTCCTTACAAAAAGTCCACTTAGAGGATTTTTCTTGTGAATCTTCCGGTGTAAAGGGCTCTGTCTCAGAAAGTAAACAGTTGCGAAGCTCAAAGATAGCATGATGACATTCAATAGGTGGGCAGAAACTGCATCATGTTGTATTGAACTTTCTGGCAAAAACACACGCACACACACACACACCCTCAAGATAGTGCGAGCTGACACGGTCGCGGTTTGCCACACGCCAGCCGAAGTGAAAACCTAAGAGGTCAGGTAATATGAAGCCTGAAAGAATGAAATGGAGAGGAGTCCAACCATGTTCCACAGCGCAACCAAAGCTCCCAAGCCCTATACGGCCGATGCAGAGCTCAAGCCGGTGCAAAGGCCATCAATTTGTTCTAGTAACAAAGGGGGCCCATGAGGAAGTAAGTGGTACTCACAACAGGTACGTCTGGCTGATCAGGCCAGATATCAGCACGGAGCTTGACCCTCTTCGTTGGATCACCAGTCAAGTCTAAGTCTGTGGGTGATCCCCTGCTGAAAAGTTCGTACCAGACCATACAAATCGAAGGATTGCCTGTGACTCCAAAGGTTTCACGCGCACGCCTCCCACAAGGGGAGGCGAGAAAGCTAAGGGGCAGACTGATGTGCATGTGTGCGCGCAAAAAGGACAAAAGGACGAAGATGTGAGAAGAAGACTTGCGATGCAAGGGAAGGCAGGTGTACAGGGACAACCGATGAACCAACCATCCTTGTCAAGACCTGGGCGACCTGAAGCCTGGGTTTAGTGTAATTGTGCGCGTGCGTGCTGAGGGCCGGACCGATGTGCACGCAAAAGAAGAAAGGGTGTGAGATGACAGGACATGAAGGCTTCATGAAATGAAAAAGGAAAGAAAGTGTATGTAAAGGGGGAAGGATGAACGGGGGAAACAAATGGAGGGGCCAAAAACCAACGAGACCAAGCCTCATTAAAAGACCTAGGTACCAAGCTTAGTTTGACATGTGTGTGCTGCATGCGCAAATAAGGCGCCTACTCGAGACCGCTGTGGTCATCTAATGGCTTGCTCGAAGGCTGCCTACTCAAATCCAATAAATCTTGGCAAATAACTTTGGCGTAAGCCTCCTACGCTTGCTGCGAGCTACGGTCGCGGTTTGCCACACGCCAACCTCAGTGAAAGCCTAAGAAGTCAGGTAAAAAGAAGCCTGAAAGAATGAAGTGGAAAGGAGTCCAACCATTTTCCACAGCGCAACCAAAGCTCCCAAGCCCTATACGGCCGAGGCAGAGCTCAAGCCGGTGCAAAGGCCATCAATTTGTTCTAGTAACAAAGGGGGCCCATGAGGAAGTAAGTGGTAATCACAACAAGTACGTCTGGCTGATCAGGCCAGATACTTGTATCAGCGCGGAGCTTGACCCTTCGTTGGATCACCAGTCAAATCCGTGGGTTATCCCCCTGCTAAAAAACTCGTACAAGACCTATACAAATCGAAGGGTTCCCTGTGACTCCACGGGTTTCACACACACACACACGCACACCTGCACACGAAGTCTTGTTTTGGAAGGGCTCATCACGGTTCTCTCCAAACTGCCAAGGAACTGCAAGCAGCCAAATCAGCAGCTGTGATGAAGCCTGGTGGCATTTGGGCTATTCTGCATACAGCTTGATTGGCTGGTGGTAGGAACAGCAAAGAAAACAGTAGATTAGACTGTCTTGAGGACAAGCATTTTGGCAACTCTGTTTGTGTATGTGTGTATGTGTGTGGGCAAACACGATGAGCCAAACACAGAACACTTCACCAATTCATATGTGGAGCCTCTATGGCCAACCATTATACTATATGATCCTGGTGTGAATTAGGGGTGCAGCTCGTGGTCCCCTTTTTTTGACATGAAACGTCATTTTGAGCTCATTGGGAAAATGTACTCTATAAAATCAAGACTATCTCTCTCTATAAATTGAACACCGAGCTTAATACGTGTTCCCACTGCATTTGGCCCCCTCCAACAACAAACCGTACAAAAATCGAGCCACTATAAAATCAGGGAGGGTTCCAAAGGGCAAATTTTGAATCAGCGAAGTGAGATAAACATAACATGTCAGAAGGTCTTATTGACTTTATAGTGGCTGCTCGTGGAAGCAAAAACGATGACCGCGACGCGACACCGAAAGAAAAAGGAAGAAAGAAAGAAGAAGGACGAAGGGAAAAAACGCAAACAACTAACTATGACCACGCGACATGACATGAGAACACAGACGATGACGACAACGACACGCCGCGAGTGCGAAAACCAGGACAAGGACGAGGAGGATGCGGACCACAACGCGAACAAGAACGCAAACGACCACGTGGACCACGCCGACAAATTTTATTTGCCAAATTGTCAGGAAACCCATTATATAGAAGGAGTGGGTGGCGAGGAGGGTCAAGGATGGATTCGGAAACTATGATTCGGAAACTACGACCTGATTCGGAAACCATGATTCGGAAACTATGAATCGGAAACTACCCTCGGATTCGGAAACTATGATTCGGAAACTAAAGTCTGATTCGGAAACTATGATTCGGAAACCATGAGTCGGAAACTACGACCGGATTCGGAAACAAAACACACCACAAAGACACGCTGACATCAGCGCGCAAGGATCTTTTGGCGCAGCAGCGGTCACGACCTGTGTTTATCGGCGCTGCGACCGTATCGGCCCCGCACCCCATTGCATGTTTATTCCCTCGTACCCCCCCCCCCCCCCCCCCATCCCCCTCACCCACCCCCCACCCCATCCGCGTGTTCGTGTTGAATTTGCTTTCTTGCGTCCCTTCTGTGAACCTGTGTGTTTGATGCGCTTATTCAATAATTGTACTTTCTGAATCGTATTTTTGGTGGCGTAATTTCTGATTCTGCGTGATTAATGCGCTTCCTCAAGTTGCTCGCAACCAGAAACCACACGTCATTATCACCCCCGCGCCCCGTTGCATCTTTATTTCCTCGTAACCCCCCACCCCCCGCCCCACCCCATCCGCCGGATGAGGCGTTTGCCGTATTCGTGTTGAATTTGCTTTCATGCTTCCCTTCTGTGAACCTGTGTGTTTAATGCGCTTGTTCAAATCGTAGTTTCGGTGGTGTAGTTTCTCAATCGTAGTTTCGCAGGCGTAGTTTCTGAATCGTAGTTTCTGAATCTTGGTTTCTGCATCGTAGTTTCTGAATCGTAGTTTCTGAATCGGAATTTATTCGGCGAGGAGGGGTAAGGACACCCATGTTATAGAGGGATTGGGTGGTGAGGAGGGGTGAGGACACCGACACCCATTTTATGAAAGGATTGGATGGCAGGGCTAGACTAATTTCACTAGGAGGGCCCTGGAACATTGGCTTTGGCAGGTGGCCAGACATTGGGGAAGGGTAGCCGCAGGAGGCAAAGAACCTGAAAAAATACCGGGAGGTTTATAGAAGGATTGAGTGGTGAGAAAGGGTCAGGACACCCATTTTATAGAGGGATTGTGTGGCAGGGCCAGCAATTGGCACCAAGTATTCTACATAGACACTTGCTTCTATAGAATCTGGATGGAGCTATCATAGAGTGCATTGTCTCTATAAAACCATCAGAAATTAGTCCACATCATTTGGATGAGCAAGCTTCATACCTACGATATCTCCTCTATAAAATGAGGGTCCAACCTTCAAGCTAAACATTTGAGGTTCTTTGTTGCACCCCTTCCAAAGGTTGGTGCCCCATTCTATAGAGAGTCTGGCTGGCATTTGAGGTGTACCTGAAATTATGATCTATAAAAAGGTGCGCACATGTCACATGGTCAATGAATTTATAGAGGAAAGCCAGGGGGATTGTCAACGGTCAACATTTGTTGTGGAGTTGCAGGTCATCAGGTGCGTGCAATGTTGGATGACGATTAGTAAACCGGTCCGCAATAATGCTAATTTTTTCCAAAATTCAGACCCCAAGTTTGAAAAAGTTGTCCTGAATACTGCTAAATTTTTTTTTGGGGGGGCCTAGTTTTTTTATATTGGAAACCTAATTAATGAGGGTTTGAATTCCTTCTGAGGCCAATGATTATGATTCATTAGCTGATATAGGTTTCTCTAGGTTTCTTCAAAACTGACAGCTTTCCAAAACCACCAATTCCTAATTAAACCCTTGATAAAGCATTGCTCCTAAACAAATGTTCAAGGTAGTAGACCAGGAAGGCACCTGATCATCAATAATAGATTTGTTTAGTGGTTCTCAATTGTGAAAAGTTTTTTCCACTGGAAAAAAACTGCTCATGGAATCTTCCTTTACTCAGCTCCTGAGGCCAATGATTATGATTCATTAGCTGATATACAATCTATGAAAGGAAAATGAATACTACAATGAACTACAACAATTCCTTACAGGAATCCAGATTTGTTTTGGTGGTAGTTCCCCTATTTGTTTGAGGGAGGGGGGGGACCCCCCTTTACTAATCAGGATCCAACATTATTGTCATT